CAGCAGGACCTTGATCAGGCTCTGGTACCAGGCTGGACTCATGGTCAGAAAACAGTCCTGCAACAACAACCACCTGCTGGTTATTCCTCATGCACCACGTATGAAGACAGAGTTTTATTCTCAACTCCAGAGCTCTTTTATGAGGCCGTAGATTCTAATGAAGCCCTCAGCATATACTCTGTGGGTGAAGTGCTATTAGAACCAACAGGAACAAAGGCCACAACGACGTAAACAGAGCTAATGTTCTCTTACAATCTACCAGGCCCTGAAAGGCACCAACTCAACAGATGGTTGATGAATGTAAAGTGAAAAGTGGGACACTCACCAGCTGTGGGTCTATCTCCCCCACCGAGCGGCTGTGCACAGCTTCCAGCAGCTCCTCCAGCTCGCTGAATGACAGCTTGGTAAGCTTCAGTTTGTCCAGGGTCAGGTGCTCTCCGTGGAACAGCCTCCTCCACAGGTTATCCCTGCGGCAGTGACCCATGGCCTGCTCCACGCTGGCCTGGATCTGTTTGCGGGCTGACGCCACCTCGTTGTTGAGCAGAGGGAACAGAGGGGAGGGGTAGAGCAGTCCCTGGGTCTCCAGTGCACCCCCCACCAGAGGGTAAAACTCATTGCCATCACTGGGGGCTGATGTAGCATCAGATGACATTTCCTCCCAGATGACCTGCTCGGGTTCCCGTGACTCACAGGCCTCTGCTCGATCCGGGGGGAGCCGACCGCCCAGCTCACCAGGATCACGATGGATCTGAGGAAGCTTCTTGAAACGACGCATGTCAGCAGTAAGGCGGGGGAAGAGCTCTCTCTGGCTGGTCATGATCACATAGAACCGCAACCTACACAGTAAAGGATGAGGATTTAGAAGAACATTCATTCCTACTGCAGGACACAGATAATGCCAAAAAGATGAATTAGTTCTGTGGCCTCATGTGGTAATGACATGATACTGGAATCAAATTTCCTTTCACAGGGTTGTTTGGAGTCTGTTGCTTAAAAAAATGCGATGGTTAGGCTGCCTGAACGAAACCAGAAACAGGAAACACTTGACGTTTGTTAATATTAGCTAACACTATCCATCATAACACCAGAATAAGAGAGGTTGCAAAACCTCCTGAGTCGTGTGAAGAGGGCAAGGGTGTATTTTATTGTTTATCGTTCAACTTTTCATTTGTGAGAGACAGAATTTATTATCACTTAATCATATATTAGTTCATCTTAAATTTAGTATATTTACACACAGAGTTGGAAAACAGTTTTGATAAGGATCCCCTTCATCTGGTTTCAAAGAAGGCTGACCAAGATGCATGGATGGGACATTTTACAAATAAACCTGCCACTGCTCTCTGGTAGAATATACACTGCATAAGACACAGCAAGTCTCGTATTGTTGCTCTATTTGTGTATGAAAGACTAGTGTCAGATGTTTTTCGACAATTTCATTTTTCTACTGTAAAGTGCAGTTCTTTAGTAATGCAGTTTAGGGGTCATTATCAAAATGTGATTAGGAAAAAAGAGAAAATCAAATAATGATGCTGGCATTAGCCCCCAAATCCAGTGTAAATCAGGATCCTCTTTAGATAAGGAAAGCTGATGCAAACAAGAACATTAGGGCGGCTATGAACAGTTCATTTTATTGACAAATCTGTTAAATGGTTTTAGCATCAAAGAGAACAAGGAGGGAATAAGAAAAGACATGCTGGCAGCGTAAAACAGCATCTTCCCTGATTCTCCACAGCATGTGGTCAGAGCTGTGGTGCTGTTGTTGCACCATGCTTTATGCCTTCTTTAATCTGTTCTTTCATATCTTGTTACCTCAGCAAATGCCTCTCCCCGTCTGACTGCTCCTCAAATGGAGCGGCATTATGGCACACCACCAGGGACACGTCAAAATCATCATGGTGGTGCAGGCCCTCCAGATCCTTGTAAGAGCCTGAGCTAAAGCGGGCAAGACGAGATGATTAAAATGAAGCAGCTTCTGAGGGAGGACAGAATTACTGTAGGATTCAGAGGTGTTGTACCTGTTCCACAGAGCCACAAGTGCGTATTCATGCAGGTCAGGTGTCCCTTTCTTGTTGTCAGCGGTGGCCGCAGTCTTGGACATCCGGAGCGGCTTCATGCCATATGTGCTGGCATGGTCAGTGATGTAGTTGTAGAGCTGGTGAGCCGTTATCATCCCCGTGGGGATGGAAAAACTCCCTGATGGACACAAGGATCAGAGATTCTCAGAAAGATTATCCCAGTTCTTCCTGTCCACCGCAGACCTTTAAAATCTCTCATGCTAGAACATGATGCAAATATCAATCTCCAGATATCCCTTCAATGCCTCAGAAAGACCTCACACAGCAGTGATACACTAAACCAAAATAGAAAGAGGAAAACTAAAGCTATTACCATTACTTATTTTTAGTGCTGGGACTCTGGTGTAAAGGAGAAAACAGGCATTTATTCCCCAAATTCAAAATACTGCTGTGGTATCCATAGCACTTTCAAGTGATACCCAGCCCTGTCTTCATGCCTCTCTGCCACACACATTTGTTTTCAAGAAACCACTTCCAAACAAAACAGTCTCAAGTAGAATAACATTATTTCAGCCTGTGGCAGCAATCCACAGCTACACTAGATTCTAATGCACTGTAATTTACCTGTTACACTATTTACTGTAAGACTAAGCCAAGACAGCAGTTGTTTCTTTTTCTCTTTTTGTTTAAGCACACTTGTACAAAAGAAACGATGTGGTGCAAATGTCTGACACAGCCTCAGTTCAACAACAAATTTAACTGCACAACTAACACGAGAGACAGGCTGAATGTCCAAAACCTCATGAGGCAGTAATTCAGTGAAGATAATGTGACTATGACTGTATTAGTGAAATAGATGCAATATTGATTCATGTTCAGTTCAGTATTTTACCAATTTAACTGAAAAAAAAAACAGTTTTTTGTGTATCCCCAACAGCAAATTATAACCATTCAATTAATCTCATGTTCTGATGTGGATGTTTCCAGTACAAATCTTATGTTCTGCCTACTGCTGCTTAATCTGGCTGTAGGGATCAACTTTAGCTGCAGTTGAAATATTACTTAACACCAATGGTTACCTTGAAAGACATGGTTGCGGCCAAACTTAGGAATATCTGGGTGATGGGAGATGAAGTCGTCCAGGAAGTTGGTGAGCTGGTAGCCTAGGCGCAGTGTCAGCTGGCAGCCGACCAAGTACTGGTGAACCACTCGCAGGTGGAAGTCATAGCTGAAGGAGTGAACGTGCATCAGGTCTCGCACCTTGTCACACTCCTCAGTGAAGAGCATGGAGAGCTTGAACCAGAGAGGTGGACACAGTCATTACTAGCAGACAACGACTAGCTGACAGTCATGAGGTTGAAAGAAATCAACAAACGAGTATTTTCACAGCTGCAGAAGGTTCTCTAACTCCAGACAAGTTATTTTCATTTCAATGATCAATTTGTAAAATGAACAGACACCGGTTATCTATGTAATCATCCATTAGCGAACCTGCTTTGCATCTGAACGGGAACACCGGGCCGTTCCAGCTGTGACTGCTTTGTACTTTAAGGCCATGTTGGTCAGTGACTCCCTTAGCCCCTTGGATGTGAGCCTTTTGTAAGCAACTTTGATATCAATCAGCTTCATAATAGTATCTTTTTAATTAAATCCAACATCAAAAGGGGGCCAACAAAAGCATTATTTGCAAATGCAAATGGATGCAGTGAGAGACTACTGTGTGCAATTAATTACTCCTCAATATGAGTTTACATGGAGAGCTAAATGCTTCCCCTGCATTTACTTTCATTTCAGGACCATTTGTCTGGAACACAAAACAGGCTTTGTGAAATCAAAGCGGCACGAGAAAAGTGCATAGTTTTCTTAGTTAGAGAAAACTTTCATCTCTGTGTCTGCGTCTGGAACCTATCCTTTCCTTTTCCTGCCTTAACACCTCTCCAGAAATGAGGAGACTTTTAGCACTACTGTCACACAACTGAGATAAGAAAAAAATAGCATATTCTTTTGGCACAGTGGTATGAAAGGACGAATATTAACTTTTCTCTTCCCAGTGGTGTTCCTGCCATCTGGCAGACAAATTAAAGTATGAACTCTTAGCCTGCTATCTGTGGAGCCAGGAAACCACTGGGACTACAGAGATCTCTGTAAGCTCAGAGGTAGTACATTTTCTGTGGGCCTCCTTTTGACTATCAAGCTAACATTTACCACATTATTTCCTAACCTGCAATCCCAAGCAGTTCATGTTCTAGCTAATTAAAAACCCTGTGGAACTTTGACAAGAACAAATTGTTAGGCTGAGTTGCGGGGCTGCAGCTCATCTTTTGTCAGCCTCACTCAGTGGAAGTGAAATTAATGACAGTCGCTACATTGACAAGAGAAGCTGTAATCATGAGGTCATCTGAAAAGAAGAGAACACAGAAAGCTTACTAAATGACAAAAACAGTCATGATTGGAAAGCTCCAAAACCACAACATCTATTGACATGAACTTTGACGGTGTATTTTCTATCCTGAAAATAGTACTTTACTTTGGTGGAAAATAATAGTTTGGGTTTTTTTTTTTTTCAGTAGTTCACAAACAGGTAGCAAGTACAGTACAGCAGCTGACACCCAGATTAATGTATTGTTCTTAGAACTCTGTCCCCAGGGCTCTAAGTGAGCTGCACCTGTCTGAAAGACCTTTCTAGGTCAGGATTTTAGAAACACAGATGCCATGAGTCCAAGTTGTGAAATGCGTATTACAAACATTACAAATTGTGGGAAATATTATACTTCATGTGTGTAAACACCACATATTCCTGCATGTGATGTTTTTGTTTTGTTTTGTGTGTGAGTGTGTCTATTATTAATAAACCTAATTTTGTGGACTATAGTATATGTGAAATCACGGTAGGCGATTACATGTGAAATGCATGAATCAGGTATCCATGGTGTTTTTTCACTGGTGAAATGCTGTTTGGTATATGACTAGAATGCTAAATTAGTTTAGCTTAAAATGTGAAATGATACATTTTAAGTATAGACTATAAAATCTAAAAAAAAAATAAAAATCTAGAATCACCCTAAAACTATTCCTAATATGTATTTTAATTCTACCATGGAGCTCCCCTCCCATTACTACAGTCCTCAACTCTGCAGAAAAACTACAAAGGACGTAACTTCAGCATTGTCTGCTAGCTACAGGATTTAAGATAACCATAATCTATATTCTTCTTAGAACATCCAGTCACTGGCTTGCACTCAATAGATTTGCCTAATTTAAGCTATTAAGAGCATGTACAGTGTGAACAGATGAGGGCCTAGAACTGATCCCTGAGGAATTTCATGTCACTTGTGTTTGCTCACATACAAAGTCATTAACACAAAGTAATTATTTCAAAAGGATCTGAATCAGTTAAGTGCCAGGAAAGCCAAGCCAATTTTGCAGCCTGTCTATACAATCATCTACAGCTAGCAGTGCAGCAGCAGTTTTCAATCCCCTGTTATTAAGTGACTGACCCTTTATACCCAAAGAGATGCTGAAACAGAGAGGAAGGCCTGGAAGGAAATCCTAAGTCCACTCAAACCCCTGCCAGTAAAGACACAAGAGGAAATACTGAAAGATCATTAGATAATGGACAGAGGGGACAACAGTGGCTGCACAAACACTTAGAAAATCACAAGCTGAGATGCCCATGACACCCACGACATCCAAACCAGCAAGCATGGAGTTGGACAGCCTGTTGAAAGTCAAAGAGGAAAAGCCAGTCACAGAAGAGCTTGACTCAGGCCTCAAGCCATGAACCTCCAAAAAAAGAAATGTTTTTAATACTTGACCTTTGCCTAAGCAAAACCAACCACTGACACCCTAAGTCCAGTTAAGCGTGGTACTTATGTTACAGTCCATCTTTACATTGTGACAACTGTAGCTCTCACAGGTATAAAAGTCTTCATTAAACACTGAAACCCATTCATTCCCAAAGACACAAAAACACAGACATGGAGATTTGGAAAGGAAGAGACCAGGACTGATGTCAGCAAGCAGAGCATTGAGGAGGGGTGAAGCCTGATTGCAGGGAGGGCCACCCCTCCCATGAGAATGGCTGGGACATACCGCACAGTCAGATACTGGGGTGGCATCTGGAAACGGCTTGCAACGAGGTTTGGTGAGGAGGCTGCCCTGATGGAGAGATGACATGAGGTGGGACTGGGCAGACATACATACAAATGGATGGAAAGGAAGACTGAAGAGATACTTCAAGAATCAACACCATACTGTTGAGACACATGTTACATATGACTGAGGACATCAATTTAATAAGAGTAGTGTTGCCTTGGTCGACGACGACAAGCCACTAGCCACCACTTATGGATAATATGACTGCAGCAAACATTATTACCTTTACTGTATAGTAGTTAACTGTGTAACACCAATGCCTGTATATATATTTATATACTCTTTGCTACATTAATGAAGTTGGGGTACCCATCCTTGATGCAAGATGCCATCATATGTTTATGTACAGTACCTGTGCATTGTGACAGCAAAAGTCCAGCTGCTTTCTTTAATGCTGCCATAAGCTAAAAATACAGCTACTACTCATACTAACACAATGTGTGTTCATACTAACACCATGTGTTCTGTGTGTTTCATTAACAATGCAACCCCAATAAACTAGATCTTTTCCACTTCTTGCCATGATTACTGTTGCATTTATGCTGTGAAGTTAAGGAGATTGGATTTGGCTTAATACCAAAAAAGAAAGAAGATGGATCCACACATTATGAGGCATTTACATGCTTTAAACAGCTCAAATGTGGTGGCTGGTCCACAGGGTTATTACATCAAAACTAAACTAGAATCTGTAATAAAGATTATAATAAACTAAAATCTGTGTTTGTATAAATCTTCCTCTCAAATGTCTGTTTCAGGTAAGCTATTAGATAATACAGACAATTGACTTACATTATTTATTTGGTCAGTTTCAAGCCTTTTGTAACAAGTGCATCCTTCCTTACCACCTCAACCTTTTCCCACCCTGCTGTGCATAAAGCCAAAGTCACTTTTATGACGGTCAACCTTGTACATTTAGAGAACACCAGAGGTAAACTAATGCCATGGTATCTTCGACATCTTTTCAAACATATTTCTCTTTCTTTGCCACATCAGTGCACTGATGGCCAAATCTGAATATGGATCAGTCATAAGTGGGAGAGAATGGAAACAGTGAGAGATGTTCACCTAATATGGAACCAGGGCTTCGAGCAGGAAATTAATCTGTGGGCTGTTGGCAGATGGGATTACATCCCAAAAGCCTAGAACCCTTAAAAACTACATAAGCAACAATGCGAAAATTGCACCTCTTGTTATGTAAGGATCATAAACTCACCGCTTTATTTGTATAAAACAAAAAACAACACTAAATAAAAAACAAAGCATATTTGAATTTCCATATTTAATAATGATTGGAAAACATGCTCAACCCAGTTTATGACTGGGTGCTAAATCCTCAAATAAAAGCCATATAACCGACATCTATAAGCATACTGTATCTGTTTAGAGGCACCGGAAAGTTGATTTAGAAACATGTTTCTTCCACATCAATAAACAGGTAAGTGGTTTTTGGTTAATATCAAGTAATAAGTTAAAAAAAGTTAATTATGCTTTTTAAATTAGCATTACCTGGATAGACTGGCCACCACATATTCTCAATCTAAGTGGTTACTTCATCACCTGAAATAATGTCAAAATGTAATAAAATGGCATAATACCAGTCCTGTGGATGAAAATGATAACAGCTTTGACCCTGGCTCAAAACTTCTCCCATCACCATCTGGGATAACGATAATCCTGACTGGCTCTCACCCGGCTGTCGTTGCATAAAGTAGATCTTTCCCCAGCTGTGGGCTGTCGCCTCACTGGACTCCTTCAGTCCCTGTCTCACACGGCGGGATGGACTGAGTGATGGTTTTTTGACAGTGAATAGGCAGCTATCACTAACCCAGCAGTGCACTTTGGCCACAAGGGGGCTCACATACAGTCAACAGCCTTTCCAGGACTCACAATGGTGAAGAATCTTTAAAAATATTCCTATATCAATATCATGATACAGATCAGCACCAAACTCTAATCAACTGTTCCGTGGCCCATACGCTACCACTCCAAAATATGTCATCAAAATCTTCCCCTTACTTTTTGAGTTACGCTGTTAACAACAAACAAAACAACAAATGCCAGCAAAGACATAACACCACCCTTGGTGGAGGTCACTAATTGGATTTTGGTGGTCAAAGGTCAGGGTCGCAGTGGCCTCATGTCTGTCCCATTCTTGTAAATGCAATATGCCAGGAACACCTTGAAGGAATTTCTTCAAATTTGACACAAATGTCCATTTGGACTAAAGGATGAACTGATTACATTTTGGTCAAAGGTCAAGGTCACAGTGACCTCACACCTGTCCCATTCCCATGAATTTGACTGGTTGGCGGAGGCATACACCTTCTAAGCGGTAATTCTCTTTTTTTATAATAATAATAATGATAAACTTTATTTATATAGCGCTCTACAGCTCGCAAGAGCACCAGAGTGTTGTACAATCAAAAACACAGAACACAAAGCAATACGAAAACAACTTCTAAAAACATAAAACAAAAGACAAGTTAGGACTCGAAAGCCTGCTTTTTTCTCAGTAATTTGGATAAAACACCCCTTGAAATAAAGGCGGTGGGAAGTTCGCCTCTGAGAAGCACTGTGATGTCCCAAAACACAATACAACATCCCAAAAGATTCAGTGATTAGACATGTAAAGCTGTAGATAGTACTGCATTAAACAGCTAAACTGAAAATTCCCTGTAATAAACCACTCAATAGCAGAAAAACATCTCTGAATTCTGCAGAGGAAGTGATATTTGGATTCTGGTTAAAAATAAAGGTGTATTGTCAGCTTTGATGGTACTGAACTTGTTCTGAGCTCAGCAGCCTTGCTCCCAGTGATTCCACTACAGAAACTAAATCTGTGTTAGTTCACCTGATGGCTGTTCTGAAAAGCATCCAGGCTAATAAGACTACCCTAAGGTCACAAAGCTACATCAGAAGATTTGAATCATTAGTGAAGGTACTGCTGCTGTGCCACATGCACACCGCCCTCTCTCTATTTAGAGACGTGTGGATCTTGCTGCAGTGTGATGGCCACAGCTATTTATGAAACAGAGCTTGTGTGAAACTGAGTCTGAAAGTGGATATTTCAAGCCAGAGGTGTGAGAGTTGCCAAGTCTGTGATGTTGAAGGAGACAGAGGTGACAGGGTGCCATCTGGATGTCAGGAGACAGAGCTCAGCTAAACTGACTGTCCATTCACTAGTCTGCGCTGTTAAAGCAATTTGCACAACACACAGTCCATTGAAATGAGCTGATTTTGCCACAAATTTTCACTGTTTTGAAATACGTGTGATTAGTGTGTTTATGGTGAAAAATATCTACCAATATACAAGTTTCTCATGAAACAGTCAACACTGATTCTCCTCATGACTGTCAGTCACACATCAGAGGAAAACCCCAACGTTCCAGATGTGGACCTTCCTTTCCCTGTGATCAAACACCGTCCAGCTCTTAAAATCCAGCATCAAAAACAGGAAGTTAATATAATTTAAATTAAAAAAATGTAATTAATAGAAATAATTGTATTTCTAAGATACCTGTCCTGTACCTGTCGTCTATTTCACTTCACCTTCTCAGAAAGCAGACAGCTTTGCATGTCGGTCTGTTGTGCATTACCTTTTGTTTCTTGCTGTAATATATTGCTAGGAAGGCACTTCACAAAGCAGTACAGACTGCAGAACCCAATGAAGTATAAAAAGTGACATGGTGTGAAAAACACCCTGGATAGTGAAGGCATTGAAGCAAAGTTATTTTCTTTCCAGATGAAGTATCACTCTTAGACAGCACCAGAATTTCATCTTCATAGGTAGTTACATTTTAAAAGGCTGTGAACTAAAAACAAAAAATACCTCCAGTGCCAAAAATGGATAGAGTTCCAGGTCCAAAAACAAATGTTAAATATATACTGTATTCTGAGGTCTGGTACATGTAAAACACAGACCCTCAGGGAGCATGATAATGCTGCTATGGTCAAGCTCCCTGAATCATAAAAAAAAACTCAAAATTATGGTAACAATGCAAATTGTATAGCGTAAATAAATGAGCAAACAAGGTAAACAGAACTGGTGGTTCTCTGTTCAAATTAAGCACACTAACAGACCACATCCTGGTCTTTTCATGTACTTGTCATGTCTTGAAGAAGTGTCCTACTTCTGTTTTGTGCTATGAAGCACAAAACAGCTGCCCTACACAAAGGGTGCTACACTTTGGTGCTACACAAAGTGAAATGCAATGCAGAAGCAAGCAGACTCAGCCGCCGTTTCAAGACTCTACTCTCTAAGTGCAGCATCAATTCTTCGCTTAAATGCCTAAAAACAACTTGTGCTTATGTTTAAGTGAAAAAGATCACAATCAGCTGTATGAATCATGACTCTTGCTTTCAGAAACAAAGCACAAAAAACTTTATAGGGAGGAGGTCAGACAGGGGTGCACAAGTCAAAGTGTGCAACTCATAAAGTAACTTGTTACAACACATAATGAATTATGTTATAGAGATTAACATTAGACCAACTGAAGTCTAGGACTCAAAAGAAATCACTCCAGTTTAAGAATTAATCAAATGGATAGCCATTGTCAATTTGGCCACGCTTCAGTTACAGATGTAGAAACACATGAAGTGGACACCAAGAGACTATGACAGAGCCCAAACAGGGGCATAAGAAACAAGCTCTGTGAAATGTGTGTGGAATGGGCTGCCAACACAGCTTCAGGACATCATCATTCACAAGACCTGTTCAGTAAACATACAGATTGGTACAGAGTGTTGTAATTAGAGCAGACTAACACTGGTCTTTGCAGTGCAGACAGACATTCTGTTTGACACTTGTTTGAAACCTCCTCCAAGACCCCCTGGAAGCCCAACCAGTGGCCTGACAATATCCTAAACAACCCTCAGAACCCCATTAGGGAGGCCTAAACCTCCCCCAGGTTGCCTGGAAGTCCTTGGACTCTCTTGTGAAACCACTGGTATAAAATGAGATCAGTACATCTGCCTCCAAGGTGTCAAATGAAGACATTTAAATCATTTTGTATTGCATTTTCTGTTACTCCTGCTATCTTATCCTCTCCCTTTAAATCCCTACAAAACCCCAGAGAGGAATGGGCACAGCATAGTGATGTGTTTATACAGAGCAGGTAGATTTCTGCCAAGCATTTACCTGGGAGTTGACTGACTGTCCCATGGGAATGCGGGAACACTCTAGTGCATACTGCTTCACACAGAAGTAACACCCCTGGCAGAAGGAGAACACAGGGTTATTTAAATCCCATGTGGCTGAACAGTTGATGAAGCCTTCCACAGGGAGGATGGTACATCGAACACAGTTTACTGTTAATCAGAATAGCTGCAGGTTTTAGTAAGGCAAGGTTACAATTTATGACCTTTTAATTTGCCTTTAAGAGAAATTCAAACAAATTTAGCCAACAAGGTCCATCCACACAAGCACAAGAAAAAATATTTAAAAGGCCAACGTGTGTGTGTGTGTGTGTGTGTGTGTCTTTGGGAGGAACCCGAAAACTACATTACACTGCATATGCAGTGCAAACCTATGGTGCTGACACTTGTCTCAGCTTGTGAAATCAGCTGTATTATGTCTTCTGTTACTCAGCAGAGGTTTTGTCAAGTCTGAGAAGATTACATAAGTGAGATCATTCAATTATCTCAGCTTGGCGTCGGAAACAACACAATGTTAACAGAAAGTCTTGTGTAAAAACTGTGAGGAGTTTGATAGATGTGGGTGTAGCCAGGTAGGGAGGTCTCCTGAGAGATGCTAGCGAGTTGCAGTATGCAAGTGTAGGGTGCAGTGCTTTTGGACTATCCTAAGTCAGGATGCTGCAACCTCTGCTACTTCAATTTAATTATTCTGTGACAGTTACGCTAGCAGTGTGGCTCTAGGGATGGCAATGTCAATGAAATACAAACAATTATTAGATGGAATGCCGCGAAATGTTGCAGACATTCATGGTCTCCAGAGGATCGGTCTGAATGACTAATGATCCCCTGACTTTGTATCTAGCCCCAACCACCATGCTATCGAGCCATGCAGGCCATTAATCAGATATATGCCCCTCACAAGCTATTAGTTGAGTTGAGTTTCAGTTGTCTGAGTACACGTGATACAACGTTTCATATAAAGGTTACAGCTACACCACCAGCCAAAGGTTTGGACACTGAACTGAATGGCAAAGTGTGGCCAAATATTTGGCTGGTAGTGAATCTCAGTAGAGCATGAATTTAATTTGATTAATTTCAGTAGTATATGAGAGTGAAAGCAGACACACATGAAAGTATTTCACGTGTATCTGGGAGCATTTCAATGTGTATTTGATAGGCAAATGTCTGACTAATGGCCTGCAAGGCCTCTGGTAAGGACGATGATATTTCGGTTGAAAGTGAAAAATATAAATATAAGGATGGCTCTTAGTTTTCATCTAGTGCCACCATCAGGTCAACATTATAATTTTGTTTCTGACCTGCAAAACTAGTGATATTCCACCTGCCTCAGCTGCACTTTGTGCTTAGTGGTAAATAGCAAATGTTAGCATGCTAAATAACAATGACATGGCATTACACCTGCTAAACATTAACATGCTATCATGGTCATTCTGCACAGTTAGCATGCTGATGCTAACATTTAGCTCAAACCATCACTGTGCCCAAGTACAGCCTGACAGAGCTGCTTGCATGGTTGTATTTTCTTCAAGCTACGCCCAACATTCTTACACTGATTTCCACTGATTGCCCCTCATTTTGGGACAACATGAAAATCAGCTAAAATAAAATTTCCACATTAATTCTCTTGAATATTTTGTTAATCAACTGTCACATGGTGCAATAGTCAAAGTTTTTTCCTTTTTACAATTACCCTTGATGACTTTTAAAGGATATTTGCGGTCACTGGAAGTTGATTATCATAGCACACTGTCATTGTCTGACTTCGGAGGCCACTGTAAAAATATGTGGTATGCTCCAGGAAATTGTTGGCCTTCAATTTACAAATACTGTACATGAATTAGACCAAAGGTGCTAAAGGATTAATAGGCATCAGCAGATTCATACCCCTGTGATGTTAGCTAGCACAGAGTGTTATTGAGCATAGTGATGAGTGCTTTTCATGGTCCTCAACTCACCTGAAAAGCCAGTTCCATCAGCACAATCCCCCCTGGCAGCGCCCTCTGGAGGTGATATGCAGTGGTGCCAGATGCTGCAATCTGAAAAGTGAGTTGACAAAAAAGGATTTCTCTAATAATATAATTTGAAGGCTTGAAAGCAGTTTAAATCAGGCTACTGATATTTTGTGCCGTTTTTTTGGCAAAAGACAGCTCTGGGCAGATTACATATTTTGTTGATTTTGAAGCTGGAAGAAGTAAATCTGCTGTAATGAAACAAAATCTTTTCTTCAAATGTTAACGCACTGTTGCCCATTAGTTTATGAGCTTAAAAAAGGATAATTGTGGTGCAGTATGTACAAATGTTTGGGCAACTTTCTAGTTGATTAATTCATTATCCTTTAAATTATTTGTTAAGACTTGTAAGACAGGTCAAGAAATGTCTTCTAGGAGTTTCCAGCTGATCATAAATTCTCTGGCTCTTCCAAGTGTGTGATGACACGAAACAACCATGGGCTCAGCTGACTGAGGACCTGAAAATGAAACTACCTGATGTGCACAAAGCAGGGGAGCCTATACAAACACATCAAAGTGCTATTGGCTTGAAATGTCCATTATGGAATGGCTGGTAAAGGGAACTGTGGATGCTACAGTACATTAAAGTTTCAGCTTCAAATTGAGTATGTCAATATAGAAAGAACTGTGTGGGAGATGTAATCCTTTAAACACAGTTTAGTGGTTCAGTAGTAATTGAACATTTGGCTGCTAAATGTACCTTGGTCACCTGTGTGTTGTTTCAAAAGTTATTTTATGCACCAAAGATCTCACACATGGCTCAGAATGTCTGGGCACTGTGTTAAAAGGGACTATATCTTTATAACTACAGATTTTGCACAATTACCGTTGAATTGTTGTGGTCGTGGTAAATGGTCTTATACTTGTATAGTGCTTTTCTATGCTTTACAGCACACTCAAAGCACTTTCACACTACTTGGCCATTCACCCATTCACACTCACACATTCACACACCGGTGTTATCACCGGGAGCAACTGGGGGTTCAGTATCTTGCTCAAGGACAAGCCGGGAATCGAACCGCTAATCCTCCGGTTAGGAAACCGCTCTACCTCCTGCGCCACAGCCGCTTTATAATTGTTAACTTCATGAAATAACAAAAAGTGAATCAACATTGAAAGAAAGGTTCATTTGCTGATGCTAGCAGCTTTGAAAAGGTTACTAGGGCCTAACAAATAAAAAATACAGTGTTTCTTGATCTCCCTGCAGTGGACAGGAGCACTATAGTACTTTTTCATTATTAAACACTACCGATTCTATCAGCAATACTGCCTTTGAAAGCACAAATACCATTTGCTGGGAAAAAATATAAAAAGGTACAGCAAACAAAAGTGTAACACTTTCCAATGCATAAAGTCAGTAGGTGGAAAACTAAGACAATTCCTCACTTCACTACATAGCTCTACACCCAGCACTGGTCAGAAATTAACAAAATATTCTGTTCTACTGACAAGATCAGTATGGCATATACTGCATCCTAAAGTCTTGGCTTCTCTGCTTTTATATCTGGCACACTAAGTAGAGCTACACACTCAACTTGAGTATTATGTGACAAAGTTTAGTTTGCTTACACAGTGTGGTGGAGAGCAGTGAGCTACATGTAATTAAACTAGTAGTTTAACTACATTTTGCATTAGCTTGCTGGTAGTTCAACTACATTAATAGCTGTGTAGTGACTGAAGCAGTTAAATTACATTTTTGCCATTTTCCGTGTACTTAAATACTGCAACTACAAATAAGTTTGGGGAAGGAATGATTTTTAAAATTTTTATTTTACCATTGCTTCCCTAACTCTTCTTTAACCACCTTTTGGATAAGAACTTTGAGCAACTCCTCATGTCATATAAACAAGAGATTCGGCTCTGAGTAGTAGTAGTAAAACACAGGCCCATTTAGACCGGTGTTCAAGCTGTTCACATTGTCTAAAAGGTGCAGGTTTAAGAGACTGTTTTAGTAAAGTTTGTAGAGGTCAGTTAAAAAAACAATATATAACAAGTTAAATAACACTGAAACCTCCCAGCACTATTTTGGCTTTGGCTCACAGCCTTGCCTTCAGTGTGTATGGCCTGCGTCACCGCAACTCAAACTAAATCCACAGAATATCATAGCATTATAGTCACATGGAGTGTCTGAGTTGCCGATGGAGGGAGTCAACTATGCTTTACAGGTGTCATATTTGGGGATAGATATTCCTTCTGCAGCCTGGGCTTACCCTTTTTGTAACTAAGTTACTTCTAATTTAAGCTTTTAAAAATATTTATTCAGAAACTGAAAGTGATTCATGTGTAGGTATCGAGAAGGGGATCAATACAAATGAAAATCAGAAATGAAACATTACAATGAATGAAGGAAAGACATTTGGGGAACAGCTAGATGGAAAGTGTTAGATATTAGTAAATCAGTCAGATAATTGTTAGACATTAATGTGTTAAACTTTAATGTGTTAGTAATGCAGTTTTAGTAAGAATTAAAGTCTGCTCTAGTCTGCTCTGTTTCAAGGTTAGAAGACAGTGTTGATTCTGAAATGTGAGCTACAGTTACCTTGACACCAATTGTTTTCTTGTATTCATCCTGTGTTAGAATTATGTCTGAATGAATGTCTTAGTTACGCACCACGTGACAACACACACACACATCAAAATTCTTCATTTTGTTATGACCAGTGGCTCCATACAGCTGGAGCTCTAGATAAGAGATGGAGTTTGTGGACTGACTTCATCTGAGGTTTTGTAATCTGTCTGTGTAAAGGGGTTAGCCCAAAATTTATAAATGTATTTGGCTCTGTGCTTCCGGGGCTCTTTTTTCCAGCAGCCTGCCTGTGGATGTCTGGAGGAAGGAACCACCCGGGTTGTGTTTGTAATTCTTTGCTTGTGGTTTAAAATAAATCAGCACTAAAATGAAGAAAAACGGACTCCTTCCTTACTGGGTAAGAAGAACTGGGGTATTACAAAAGACTTGGTTTTAATGTACTGAAAATGTACTGGAGCCACTTTTACAAGCACAGTCAGGCTCTGGCTAAGTATGTTTCTGAAAAATAAGATTTCTGAGGTGAACACTAACCTTAGGACTGTCCTCGCTCTTCTGCTTTACATAAGAAAAAGACATCCTCCCTTCTGATGATATAGAGCTCAGCACGGCAGCACGAGCCCGGGCAATGCTGAAAGAGATGGGGGTGGGGTGGGGTGGAGGACAGGGGTCAGTTAGGGTCTGGTCAAACTAGAGCCTGGGCCCAAGGGCTGATGAACCACCAACAGCAAGCAGTCAACCCATAAGGCACAATTCAGTGAGTCCTGCCGTCTGAGCCTATGAAGTGACAGGCATCTGCCCTGGTTACATCAGCCATGAGGCAGCAGCGCTGGGAGTTCAGAGATCAGACACGGGTTAGCACACATACGCAGACTAATGGATGAATACTGCTCACAGGGATGAAAGAGAGGTGACTAAGAAACTGGTAGTGAGGCAGAAATGCAGTGATACATTTTTCATTTCACAAAAAAATATGCAAGTACATGAGGAAAAATGGCAATGCTGTATAAAATTTACAGTACTATCCATTTACTAAAGGAATGGCAGTTTATATTTTTCCAGAACAAAAATAAAGTATGAAAAGCTTGGGCTGCTTGAAAACAAATTTCAAAATTAGTTATTGTATCAATTTTAAAAACCTGACATGTGCAGGACATGTCCCATAACCCATGATGGTTTCACATGCACTCAAGCCTCAAATATCAATGTAACATATTCAAAATCTGGTGGCAAAGACAAGCAGCGGTCACAAGTAGACAAACTATACAAATGAACCATTCTTGTAGATACAGACCTGCGAGCTGGAGACTGAGGCCGGACCTGGACCAGAATGAAACCCATGCTCTGCAGGTACTGAACATACTGCTGAAGGAAGGTGTTAGAAATTTCAAGCAGCCAGGGTTCCTCCTTCAGTCGGCTGGGCAGCATGTCACCCGAGTCAGTGCTGTAGCTTCTGTTTCGACCTGATGCTGTGGAGTCACTGGAGCGATGCCTTTTCTGCCACACGTGTCACAATTTCATAAACATTTTGCAGAAGAGTACACATCACTTTAACACACAAATAAGACTGGTATGTGGTGGTATGTGTGTAAACAGCACAGGAACGGCAGTTTGCAGGAGAATGCAAGCAGTTTCTTTAGTCAAAGAAGGTCAAAGGTCCATTATTAGAGCATTATTGCACAGTTAAGCCAGACAACAGAGCATCTCTGGAAAGACCTGAAAATGGCTGTGAACCAGCACTCCCTGTCCAGTGTGGTTGCCAAGAAGAATGGGAACAAATTCCAAAAGAAAGGTGCCAAGCTTGCATCTTTATTCCCAAGAAGACTTGAGGCTGTTGTTGCTGTCAAAGGTGCTTTAACCAAGTACTAAGCGAAGGGTTTGAATACTCATGTAAATGGGAAATTTGGGGCTTCAATTTTTAAATTAAAAACTCCAAAAACCTGCTTTGACTTTGTCATTTTGGAGTATTGTGTGTACACTGATGAGAGAAAAAAGAACTGAATCCCTTTTAAGATGAGTCTGAAACTGATTAAGGGGACTGAAAAGCTTCTGAATCCACTATTTCACCTTTTCATTAGTGATGCAGTTCTGCTGACTTAATCAGACTGTGATCTCTAGAAGACAGTAAGACAGTTAGTAGCTGACCTTGAAGTAGACTGAATTAGGGTCAGCACTTTAAAATATTCTACTGTAAAACAGCAGCTTCTTTCCCAAGTGAATAGGTCAGTTTATGTCAACAAGTAGACTGGTGTGGTGAAAGCAGTGATGTGGAAACAGTCAAGGTGAATTTGAGTATAAAAGTAAAAATCTCTTGCTCAGCTGCAGAAGAGGACTTCTGGGCTACTTTGCTACCACCAAAAACCTGGACCCTGATGAGCACCAAACACAGATGCATTAGAATGACTTTCACTGTTATTCTACAGGTACACAACCCTGCTATTATCAACTGATATAATAAAGGAAGCTGCAATGGAGATGCAATACTGTCTTTAATATAGGTTGTATTGCTAGTGGTTTATATTAATCAGACATGGGCACTCAAGTTGGTGACTTGTCGGAGTCACACTCAAGTACCACATACAGTAATTAAAACTTCCAACTTGACTTGCAACCTTCCCCTGACTCCAGACTTGACCGGGACTCATGAACATGAGTCCTTCAATTACTAGTAAAGGACTGAACATTTTTGAAGAGGACAGTTTTGGTTTTTATAACCCTGTGTAATCCTTTAACACAGTGTGAAGTAGTACAAGTCCCTCAAACAACAAACCTCTATGTAATGCCAGCTACTGCACGCTGTAGCGTTTGGGTACAGGGATTTCAATACCCTTGGGGAAAACAGCCTAAAGGGTGTGGGGGAAAACGATGGACACAGGGTCGACCACATGCAGTCGGAAAATTCATCCAGAGGTGAGCAGTGGAGACAGTAGACTCCTACCTCAATGATGTCAGACTTGAAAATGTCTGATATCAATTTATACTAAGCAAGAACTGACTCATAAAATCCTTATCTATAAACACCAGTTAATCAAAACTGAACCTAAATTTCCTGTAACTTTCCTTTGAGTCAGACACAAACATACCTTTTCAGAAGGCTGAACAATCTGCTCCTCTTTGATCTGCTTGCGGAAGGAGGGGTCAAAGAGAAGAGGGGTGGCACAGTAGTGAACCAGTCTGGACGACTGCTTCAGAATCTCCAAATCGGTCCCCTGTTGAGACATTCCTGATTAGTGTCGAAAAGAATGAAAGAGGATGCAACAGACTCTGGGAGAAGTGGGATGATGATACAAAAGACTACAGTGAATTTTCATTTAAGAATAAAGTCTCCAGGCAAATGTAGCTCATCAGACACAGTAGTGTTCACAGGCAGCTGTAACATCAACGATTCAGCAGAAGGACACTATATTTAATATAACAGGGGCCTGACATTCAGATCCACACCAGATCTTGATGCAATCAGATCCCATCTAATAGTTAATTTAGTTCATCCAGTGGCATACAAAAAGCAAACGCTCATGGAAATGTTATCCATTTCCATGAGGCTGTGTTGGACCTAGGTCAGGCCGCAGACCTCTACTTGGATGTGACTGAGTTAGAGTGCTGTGTGGGTGTCTGCTGAAATATCAAATTCGTTTAATGCCACCATGTAACCTCTCTTGAGATGCCACTGTGGCAGAGAGAAACCTTTTTAATTAGTCCAGATATTCCCCACTTTAAAACCAGGCAATACTAAATGATTTCCTGAAGGAGTAAACTGTAATTGTAGCTCTTCAAAGCCATAAAGTAGTGAGAGGTACTGCTCCCCCAGGTTCTGCTCAGCTCAGTTAGCTGTGTGTGATATTTGGCTATTCACACGATAAGAATTTAATACTACATTCTGACTTCCTGGTCAAATCCAATTTATTGTTAGATTGTTTGCATTATGTTTGTTAATGTGTCAATATTCAATAGCAGTTTACACTGTCACCTTTCTGAACTAATCCATGAGCAAAAGAACAATACCACTCCAGATTTTATTACCATTGATGGTCATGCATGATCACACAATTATAATTGAGCCTGCACTTGACAATCTAAAGTGGTGCTGTTACATACATTAAGTACTGTACTCACACCTGGGTTAACATAAAAGGCATTGTAGTGTTTAGCTTTCTTAAATTAACCTTCATGTAATCTCAGACTTGACTTTATGTTAAAATCCTCTAAAAGTAGTGGTCTGAACACAGGCTGGGATGGGAGGCTGTAAAATGATCTGGAATGGTATATGGCTGCATCCTCAGTCAGCCTGGACAAATGATACATTACTTGAAAGCAAACACAAAGCCTTATGATTCAGTGGCTCTCAGAACTAGGACTTGTCAAACTTACTGAAATGGGCATGTTGGACTGTGCTGATCTCTGCTGCCAAGTGACGAACAGGTTCTCTATCTTCATCTGTTTCTCCAATTCTGTCAGCACAAAGTCAAAGTCATTAGCTGCTGCCCAGTGTGGAGTTTTATGGGCTCAGTGGACAAAAATATTATTATTTTTATTGTCATCATCATCATCATCATCATTAGTAGTAGTGATAGAAGTAGCAAGATTAACCTCTCCTCTCAGCAGCTTTGATTTCCAGGAGTTGGCCTCCATGTCGAGCCACCACATCCCCTTCCATCAAGGGCTGGATGGTGCAGACATCCCTCAGAGCCTCATCAAATGGAAGCAGCTCAGAGGGGAAGTGGAGTGGAGCAAGACTTCTGCCAGAGCTGCTTAGTCTGCCTTGCTCTTTACTGGGCACAGGAGGAACTGGACTACGCAGCAATGCATCAGGCTCCATGGAGGGGCTGAGGAATGGGTTTGGATCCTGGAAAAGACAGGGAAAAAGCAAGAATCAATCAATTAATAAAAAAAAGAGATTGCTGGGGTCTTTACCTATGCCTAATTCAATACAATTGTATTTGTATAGCACCAAATCACAACAGTCATCTCAAGACACTTTACATAGTAAGGTCTAGACCAGGGGTGCCCAATATGTCGATCACGATCGACTGGTCAATCGCAAAGGTAGTGTTGGTAGATCGCGTGCCATTCAAAAATAAATTAGATGTATCCGTAAAACACGTGCCAAATGTTAACATGTGAATGGTCAGTGTGACGATTCGCTGTGGCGACCCCTATCATTCATATATAGCCTATTATCCATCCTCCCTATGGAATTTGCTACTTGATTGACATGCAGGGCAGCCAGTCTGAGATCTCGTCTTTTCTGACACACGAGTCACCAAACATGCACAGTCAACAGCACGAGCTACTGCAAAACTCCAGTGAGCGAACTAACTTGTCAGCGTTCGAATTAATTTCTACTAAAGGGTATAAAATGAGTGGGGGAGCCGAATCAAGTAAGAAACCAAAAACGTACCGAAAACATTCCATGCGGAATGGGAGGAGGACTTTTTGTCGCAACGTTATATTCGAAGTGCATTTGCTTGATCTACCAAGCTACCATCACTATTTCGAAGAAGGGAAATGTGGAGCGGCACTTTCAGGCCGTTCATAAAAACTACAACACTCATTCATACATATATTTGTGTGTGTGTGTGTAGTATTTTTAGTGTAGGTCGATCATTTTGACTTGTCATTTGAAAAGTAGCCCGCAAGGCAAAAAAGTGTGGGCACCCCTGGTCTAGACCTTACTACTACTACTACTACTACGGCTACTATTATTATTATTATTATTATAGAGGGAAAACCCAACAAATCTCCCTTGAGCAGCACTTGGTGACAGTGGGGTGGAAAAACTCCCTTTAACAGAAGAAACCTCAGACAGACCCCGGCTCTTGGTGGGCAGCCTTCTGCCTTGACCGGTTGGGGTGAGTGGATAGAGGAGAGAAAAGAATGGGAGCGAGAACAGTGGGATTCATTGTCATAAGAACAAAGGTGTGAACAGTTCTGTGGTTTAAGAACACATCATGAGTTTGATGTAGACTTTTGTTAGGGCCTTTCTCAAGAACAAATTTAAGAAAGAACCTAGGAGGACATTTGCAAATGAGGTCCAAAGTTCCCTGTTCCCCTTAAAATTCACATTAATATTACATCAATGACTGGGTCACCCCATTGAACACATGGATAAACATCAAAAGCAGCATGTATTCACCGTAGGGTGGTTAAAGCTTTAATGTCTACATGCTCAGCTCTAATACTCAGATGCTACAGATCCTATGTTGAGCCACTATCATGACCTGTGACCAAAAGACAAAGGTGGTTCAATGGAAGCATCATAGTGAAGAGAGGTTCAGATTCTTCAGATCGTATGCTACATATTCCCTGCACTCTACATTTGTATTGATGGGTATTATTACTGGGCATCTTAATTTTGAGAGCACTGTTCGTGTACCCTGGCTGCTGTTCAGAGGAACTTTTGGGCGAGTTTGTTCAGCAGAACAGCAGAGCTGGCTGCACCATGCCCACAGGCTGGAGGGTCAAGCTGAACACTGGTGCTCCCTCTGCTCCTCATCAGGACCATGACAGATGAAGCTCTGTTCAGGCAAATTTTCTGCTGCTCTGATTCTGCCTCCTGTCCGCACTCATTAGTAATGCAGTGATGAAGAGCGGGGACATCTGAGGGGAAAAAAAGTTTGCTTCTCTCTATTCTTTGAGTGTGTTTTGTAATTGGCCATAGGGGACAGGTTAAAAGGGCAGCTGGAGTCTTTCCTAGCTGTGATAAACAATTATGATAAACCCCTCCTTCTGCCCATTCCACACAAAAATGCAGGAAAACACTACGTGAAGCTTTTCTGTATTTTCATTTTTATTATTATTATTATTATTTTTATTTTTTTTTTTTGTTACTTTGCCTTGTTTTTTTCCCCACTAATCCGAAACACAGTGATGTGAGACTATGACACATCATACTGAGTTAGGGCCAGTGTAAACCTCCCACAGCAGTGAAGCATGTGAGCATAGGTTGACATCAGCTTGTCGGGACACACCACTGTCCTAGTCTTCAGGATTTACTACAGTCGCTCCTCAGGTCGGCACAGTCACTCCTCAGGTCGGCACAGGCCCGTGTTACACATACGCTACCTGTTTGTCTCCTCTGAGAACAAGCTGGACTCACCTGTGTCATACCGTTATTGTAGTGCGATTCCATAGCACACAAAGTTGTTGAGTTTATTGACATATTGGTGCATATTCACCGTAGGGTGGTTAAAGCTTTAATGTCTACATGCTCAGCTCTAATACTCAGATGCTACAGATCCTATGTTGAGCCACTATCATGACCTGTGACCAAAAGACAAAGGTGGTTCAATGGAAGCATCATAGTGAAGAGAGGTTCAGATTCTTCAGATCGTATGCTACATATTCCCTGCACTCTACATTTGTATTGATGGGTATTATTACTGGGCATCTTAATTTTGAGAGCACTGTTCGTGTACCCTGGCTGCTGTTCAGAGGAACTTTTGGGCGAGTTTGTTCAGCAGAACAGCAGAGCTGGCTGCACCATGCCCACAGGCTGGAGGGTCAAGCTGAACACTGGTGCTCCCTCTGCTCCTCATCAGGACCATGACAGATGAAGCTCTGTTCAGGCAAATTTTCTGCTGCTCTGATTCTGCCTCCTGTCCGCACTCATTAGTAATGCAGTGATGAAGAGCGGGGACATCTGAGGGGAAAAAAAGTTTGCTTCTCTCTATTCTTTGAGTGTGTTTTGTAATTGGCCATAGGGGACAGGTTAAAAGGGCAGCTGGAGTCTTTCCTAGCTGTGATAAACAATTATGATAAACCCCTCCTTCTGCCCATTCCACACAAAAATGCAGGAAAACACTACGTGAAGCTTTTCTGTATTGTCATTATTATTATTATTATTATTATTTTTACCTTTTTTATATTTAAACTTAACTGTTGTGCATTCTCTATGTCAAATTCACCATGGCTGGACTGACCTGCTAGGAGTGTCCTAGGGGAACAATGGGGGCCCACATTAAACCCCCACCCCCACCGCCATCGTCCAAGTCTGCACTGTGCAATTTATGCTATTCCTACACCACTGTATGCTTTACCAAAGCTTTTCTCTGTGGTTATTTGATTCCACACAGCGTATGCACCCAAGTCCTTTCACTTGGCCCTTACATCACAACATCTGAGACTGTGCATTAGAGATACTGTATGTTACCAAACACATTTTTACACAAACTACTTGAGGCACATTGTGGCTGCCCTGAAGCTTTCATGTCCCATTTTACCTGCTTGATTATTCAGCTGTTACCATTTCCCAACATTCACTATGTATGTATTCTGCTACATTTTAGGGCTCAGTCACTGCTTTCCTATTAACACTATTGATCTAATCATCATTGCATTGAATGGGTCTATGTTCACATCTTCCAATATAGCTCAAATTTACTATAGGCTAAATTAAACTGGAAAAAAAATCCCAACTGTATCTCCTCATAAAATTCTGGTAGAAGAGAACTACTTTTATACTGTCAAAATTGATTGTAGCACTATAAAAATATTATAGATCTAAATGTACAGTGACAACATGAATAAACATGAGAATACCAAAGAATCTAACTGCAACAATCTTCTGGGAGAAGTGTTATCTGACAGAAATGCAGGGGTGCCAATATTTTTAGCCATGACTGTATGTGTTATTTTAAATGATGTTCTATCTAAAGCAGCACTATGTCTCTGCCAGCTGGTTTTAATGTGTTTTTAGAAATAGTGAGAGGCTATTGCTTCCTGAGATAAGGGGAAACCTTCAGCACAGTGGCCTTATACTCTGCATAGGTGTTAATAGTGATGGGGAAAATGAAACAGTTATTTTACTTCAACAGCAAGGAGGAAAGGCTGTTACTCATGTGCTTCCTCTACCCACATTTCACCAGCCTATTCCACGACTGGATGCAGCAACTTTTTTGTCACAAGCCCAGGTACTGTCTGAATCCAAATGCAACTCATAAAATAATCTTGACACTGTTGAAGAAACTGTCCCTAGTGCAAAACTTTGCATATACACATGTGCTCTTTGTCTTCTGACCAATGGCTGTGGCAAAGAAAATCACTGGGTTTGCAGTTATACAGAGTTTCTGCACCACTGCCCTACCACTCACTACTCACCAGTGGGAACAGTGAGGTTGGTTTGACAGCTGACTCATGATGTGAAGTGAGTAGGAGTGTGAAGAGACACGCGATGTTAAATATGCTTAGCAAACAGTTTTGTAAGTGGCAGCATGCTTAAAATAACTACACAGTGTGAAAACGTCCTCTCTATGCCAGAAAGCAGTTAAAGGTTTCAATCTGAAAATCAAGGCCAATGATGTGAAAGGGCTGTATTTGCAGGATATGATCAGGAAAACACAGGAAGACCGACAAAGCATGGGAGTAATAATGAAGAAGAAAAGATAAAAGCTTAGTCGCATGGCTGAGGAATCTTGTTTTGGTTTGTGCTGCCAAAATCATCAGTCACATAATGATCCACAGCTCCATATTTTATACAGATGGTCCTGCAGCTTTGCTGAGATACTCAAAACAGAAAACAAGCCTTAAAAAAAGCAGCAACAAACTCTGAGGAAGTGCCTGTTGAGAGGCATATGGGAGGACAGTGACAGCCTCTATCTGCCACTATTTATACTGAATGTTGATTGGAACACTTTCTGCACTTGGAACCGATTCAGCTGTAATTCAGTCTAGATACAGAAATGCAGTGTTTCCCAAATGTTGTCTGTTTGCCACTACAGTAACAGTGGGAGGACTTCCTAATAACACTGTCGTATTTAATTGTTTCAATATTAGTCAAGAAATGTATAGTACTGTACAGAGATATCAGATCTCTTTTTTAAAAGAGATAACTCAAAATGAAACTGCAGATCTCTTAACACTAAACTGCCAGAAACACAGATTATGCTACAGCCCGCCTGTCTGTGATTTGTTAGTCTTGTCCAGGAATCACTACTGCATGGTGGAGACCTTCAATACTCTAGTCCCAGAGAGAAATGTTTTGGATCAATAAATTAAATGTTATTGTCCCACATGGTTCGAATGACTCATTTACAATTGAACCTTTATTTTAATAATATGGTATGTACAGTCATGGCCAAAAATATTGGCACCCCTGCGTTATCTGACAGAAATGCCAACATTTTTAGTCTGGTGACTGTACATGTATCTGTTGATATTTCTTTGATAATGGTGGATTGTTTTTGAAATGAATTTGGCTCAGATCTACCAGGATTTGTGAAAATGTCATCAGTGGAGTGTTAATGATTGTGGGGAAGTAGAGGATAGGCTGAGCTCCATTCGCTCAGGCTGGCGTGCTGCTTGTTACGTAGCAGTAAGTGCAGGAAAACTTAAATGGAGTGCAGGTGACACATGAGGCGGTGATATGACATGGATCTTCATCATAATGGTAATTCCAAAAAAAGAATTTGAAAGCTCATTATTAGTCTAAATGTCCTATCTGCAGAGTTTCTGATTCATAATCCAAAGTTGTGGGCTACAGGAAGGATATGGTGCCCACATGTTCTGACAACAAGCAGGCTGCTGTTCACCATTCTATCCGACTCCATGTGCTGTTTTGTTGTGCCACAATTTACCACGGCTTCAGGTGGGCACAAGCAACATGTGCCATTTCATGTGCTGAATATAAATGGAACAGAAACCATGCCCACCCGGCACCATGCCACTGACTCTGACAAATGTTTCTGTTGCTTGGTGATCACATGTTGTGCTCTTTAAAAAGAGAGAGATCACCACTGTTCCACTTGCTCTGAAGAAGGCATCCTGTTCAAATGCATCAGCAGTTCTATCAGTGCATTACAATTAAATTCATTCCTACCACTGACAAGAGGTGATTTGACTATCGTGCACCACCTTTCTTTTCTTGACTACAGAAGGCAGAAGACGCATCTGTATTTCACTGCATGAGAAGCACACATGGTTTTTTTTTTTTACTTTATAGGCAGGAATTTTCTAAAGCTACATTAACCAATATTTTACATTAACCCTGGAAAGGTGACACTGTGATGAACACACGGAGAGTTGCAATTTAACTCTACACCTCCCCTCAGCGCTACAAAACATTTTAGCAGATTTCTGTTTATTGTTTAGGTTTTACAGCCCCTCTCCTTACTCTCATGAACCTGGATTTCAGCAGCAGTCAGCAGTTTCTGGTGAAAAAGCTCTAAAAACATTTCTGGATGGTAACAAAGCAGCAAACAGCAGAGGGACACGGGGACTAGCTCTTGAACATGGCGGTGCATTTAGCAGATAAAGAGGTTTTCCCCAGGAGTTGAAAACAGAGCTAACAGGAGACTGAATAATAGAAATTCATCAGGTGGACACAAACGCCACCATATGAATGGTCATGCTGCTGATGTGTCTGCTGGTAATATAAACACTACAAGCAACCGTTGGCGACCACAGGAGCCTTTAACAACTTTATAAGGTCATAATATACCAATGTCTTCACGGCTTGGTGCGCTGACATTTTTAGATAATAATACATTCGCATTGGGCAACTTTGTCACATCATGAAGGTCACAAGATCTACAAGGAAATGCCAGCGTAGCTATTCATTTATCTTGGAATAGGGACAGTACACTCCAGCCACAAAAGCAACTTTTCAATGAGAGATTGTATTGACTTACCGAAGCTAGTGTCATATAGAAATCATGGTCACTGTAGCTCAACAACACGCTTTCGACAGAACAGCCTGTGTACTGTACTGCAGTACGCCAAGTGAAACATGACAAGGATTTACAATATGCATCAAGAGAGTTAACAAGTCTCACAGACATACAGGAAGTGCCACCGCTAAAAGTAAACACAATTACCTGGGTAACAATGTCACTGTGTGGTACAGTACATCATTACTCAAATAAATAAATTCTATGAGAGGCATGTCCAATAGGCTGGCAGTGGAACGGGTTCCGACAGTCACTTATGTGGGAGTTAGCTCATACCCCAGGGTACAACAGCTATATGAACTCTGTCCCAGGACCTCCTACAATAGCTTCTGCAACACTGGGAATCCGGATGCTGCCCTGACAGACTGATTCCACCTGAACTAACAGCCACTCTCCCCATTAGCTCCCAAGCCCCACATTAATTGTAGGCATATTAGCTCCTTACAAAAGTGAGACATGTCAGCATGTCTATCAAAACACTCTACAGAGTGTCACTCCATCTTTACATAGCCTGTGACCTGTGCTTGGACCCCTAATACAGTCAAATCAAATTAAATCAATCGATTCTCAGTGCAAACAGCAGTTCTGTTCTGCATTCCTCAGTTTTAGAGTTGTTTTATTTTGGCCAATATACATAACATGAAGGCTACTACAGCTAGTGAGTCTCTATCACCCACTTCTCAACCTGTGCATGGTAAACGCTCACACAGAGACTCAGTGCTTAGACACTGTTTCAACAAATGTGCAGGAACAGTTTTGTAGACCTTTGAAAAATATCTACAGTACAGTAAGTAATATCCACATTTGAGAACGCAGATGAGACCCCTCACTGTTAGTGGAAAAAACTTAGAACTGTCCAATGAACTGGTCAAGGTTACAACATGTTGCCAATGACACTTCCTGTGCTGCTGTTGACTTGCTGGTAGTGCACCATGTTAGGAATGGTGACAGTGTTTTTACCTGCTTGGAGTTCATTTCATGAATAGGTGTGTCAGAGAAGCAGTAATGATGGAAGAGGCCCATCTTCTGGTTGAGGAGGCAGTGGACAACATGAGCCCTTGCATTCAGCCACTTAACAAGGCGGACCAGTTCACGATTCAGAGAGGTGCCCAGGTCCACAGACCAGTTGTAACTGTAGAGAGTTACCTGAAAAAAAGGATTATAATATGATACATAAACAAACAAAAGAAGGCCACACACATGCACACACACAGGTCCTTAAGTATTTGGACAAGGACACAATTCACACAATCAGGAGAGCTATGCATGGCTGCTCTTTTTGGATTATAGTTCTGCATTCAACACAAACTGGTGGACCTGGGAATTCCATATTACACCTGCACATTAAGGGTGAGAGTGGGCCCACACACATCCATGGCTCTCTCAGCACTGGTTCACCACAAGGATGTGTGCTGAGCCCCCTGCTCTACACCCTGTACACCCACGACTGCACCCCTGCCCACCACGGCAACACCATTGTAAAATCTGCTGATGACACCACGGTGGTGGGGCTCATCTCTGGGGGGATGAGACTACCTACAGGGCTGAGGTGGAGAGGCTGATAGTGTGGTGCAGAGAGAACAATCTGCTCCTTAATACCTCAAAGACTAAGGAGGTCATTGTCGACTTCAGGAGGAACAAAACCAACATCTTGCCACTGTACATCTGCGAGGACCATGTGGAGAGGGTACCGGCCTTCCACGTTCTGGGAGTCCATATTAAGGAGGATCTGACCTGGGGGGTGAATACCTCTAAACTGCTTAAAAAGGCCTAGCAGAGACTGTACTTCCTTGATCAGGAAGAACAACATCTCCCAGAGAGTGCTGGTGTCCTTCTATTAGTGCTCCACTGAGAGCATCCTTACATACTGTATACAGACGTGGACAAAATTGTTGGTACCCTTCTGTTAAACAAAGAGAAACTCACAATGGTCACTGAAATAACATGAAACCGACAAAAGTAATAATAAATAAAAATTTACTGAAAATTAACTAATGACAATCAGTCATTGCTTTTAAATTGTGGTTCAACAGAAGAATTAAAAAAAAAAAAAAACTAATGAAACTGGTACAGCAGCAGCACAGTGGCTCAGAGGAAAATGCTCCAGAGGGTCATTAATATGACCCAGGAGATAGTCGGCTGCCCTCTCCTCACTCTGGAAGAACTACACAGTTCCTGCTGCCTCAAAAAAGCCCAGTACATCATTAAGGACACTTCACACCCAGGACGTTCACTCTCTGAACTGCTGCCATCAGGTAGACGGTTCAGAATAATCAAATCATGGACCACAAGATTCTGGAATAGTTTTTACCCAACAGCTGTTACCACACTCAAAGCTGCTAAAATATAATATACATGTACCTGTGTGAGTGAGGGGGAGTGTGAGAAGTCTGTTGTTTATTTCGTTTTTATAGTGGTTAGGTTTTTTTATATGGTCTTATTTCATATGTTATGTTTTTTTTTTTCCTCTATTTGCCGTACCGACTGGAGGTCACTCTAAAATTTCATTGTATGTGTTGCAATGACTATAAAGGATTATCTTATCTTACTTCATGAGTGATTTAGCAGATAAAAGGTCTGGAGTGTTTGTATTTGACTGCTGTCCATTGGAACTCAACATATGGTCCAAAGACAGGTTGATGCAAGTGAAGGAGGCCATCATAAGGCCTAAAAACAAAAAATGTCTGTGCAAATTCTCAGCCATCCAGGTCGTTTTATAGCTGAAAAAGCTTCATCAGTTCATCACTTCATCAGAACTGATGAAGCCTCTTGGATGAGAGGTGAAATGTCTTCGACCTAGAAATCTAGTCCAGTTGATTTTTTTCTAAGTTTTTTTCAGCTAAAAACAAAAAACTATCAGAGAGAGCTGAAAGTTTAGGAGCAATTGTTGATGACGTCCATGGGTTCCAGACTTCAGGCAGTCGTGATGACAACTTTGTCCAATTAACTTTGCCTATGATTATGTATTTAAAAAATGCTGTAATTCTTAAAGGGTTAATTTGATGTTTTTGTGAAGCCCCTGAATTCAAGCTGAAAGTCTGCACTTCTAATACAGCTTGACTGCTTCATTTCAAATGCACTGTGTACAGAGGGAAAATGACAAGAATTGTATCCCTGCCCAAATACTTCTGCCAGACTTTGCTTTTCTATGTGAACATCCTTAGTGGAAGTCAAAGGAAGAAATCTCAGCGAGATATGTCTGGACAAATAAAACCAAAACCATCTGCAAGCTGGGACACCACTAGTGTTTTGTTCTTTTTTTATGAGATAACTACTAACTGCACAAGTGTGAGATGATTGTGTGGTTGGCTGAATACAAACAGGAGCTTCTGAATTTGTAAGAACTCCAACTTCTCTTCCTGGCCTGAATTATAATTATCACACAAAGGCTTTCATATACTAAGTCACCTTTTTATCCATGATGCTGATGAAAAGGAACCTCTGCCGAGGAGCCAGTCCTGCCCTGGCCTGGCTAGGACTGAACCAATCACTCTGCTCCAGAGCCTCAAAGCGCTGGAAGCCCTTATGAGCTGCACAGAAGGGAGAGAAGCTCAGCGCAACGACAAAGCAATATGGATGAAAGGCAGACGGCATGCTGTGGCAGGTCCTTTAACACACTACCTACTGACTGTCAGGACAGTCTTATCTGGTCTTTATCAAACCACAGTATTACAGTCAATGAATGTTGCAAAGTCAACTTTGTACATGTAATAAATGTTTATTATTATTTTGCTTATTGAGAAATGCTCAATGGGTAGTTATACAGTGAATTACACAAGGATTCTTTGATACTTCAAGGTTTAGATGGAAAATGTTGTGAAAACACCTATTATAAAAAACAAACAAACAATAATACTATTTTTTTAATTCAGACAGATTAAAAGAAGTGTGCTGAAGAGGGTCTTTTCCTGGATCATAAATGATCTTTGGCTCAGTGCAGACACTGGCTTGCAGACAGCCAAAACATCATTTTGGCTTTTCATCAACTTGCCTGCAAAATCAAAGTTAATTAGCAACAGCTGATTTAACTTATAAACCAATGGTCAGTGTTGGCCAAAGATGAGACGATGTGTTGGCACAAATATTTTGCCAAACCCAGTGATAGTACTCTGTCACTCATACATGAGTAATTGGTGAGATTTTCACTTGTACATGTGAGTGAGCAGCTCACACTGTAGAGTCCTGAGCGATGGCTCCCAGTGCACTGCAGTCACAGGAGAGTTGTGGTGCACAGGGTCACTGCCAATCCAGGTTCAATTTGCTGCACCCATGTTCTACAACTTCTGTCCCCACTAAAACCCTGCCACCGAAATATGTTTTGTGCTTTATAACTTGGTTTACAAAACAAATAGGGCCCAGTGACTTTGATTTATATCTTATGTAAAGCACTTTCAATTGAAAAAGGACTATTCAACTATTCCATATATTACCAATATTTTAGTATTCACAAGTATTCTAGTGTGTATATTGATCACTACCGCTTTATAAAAACAGCAATTTCAAACATCCCATCAGCATCAATATGTCAAGCTGAAAGGCAAACTTACGTGTGAACCTATTTAGCACTGGGGTGTTTTCCTCATCTGAACTGTTCTCTGTAGGCAAACAGAGATGGTACAAACAGCAAGGAAGCATGGACAGTGAAACACATAGCATGACACAAACTGATGTAAACAGACACTTGCAAAATAACACAACTATGTTAGGCAGCTGCTACGTGGACAGAGAAACAGAATCAAAGGGCAGCAGCAAGAAGAGCATGTTGAGAGCTTCAACACAAAACACTCATGCGTGGACAGCTTCCTCTTCACTACGCAAAGGTGTTAGCAACATGCTGCTGAAGACACAGGCCTTCCCTGACATTAATCAGTATAAGCTCCTCTGAATACTTTATGGTCACCACCACGATCTGTTATCTTTTGTCTTCCAAAAAAAAAAAAAAAAAAAATCACTGTAAATATTTTTAAAGCAAGAACCATGCTTAAGTACATGTCTGAGGTTCTTGCACAACTGTCAAGTATTTTCATTTTAAGCTACTTTATTCTTCTACTCCAAGACATTTATCAGAATGAATGTATTTACTAGCTACATTACCTATTATAATGCAAAACTGTCTACTAATATATTATGAACTATTATTAATTAGCACCAAATTTAACAGCTGCAACACTGCATATATAACATATACTATATATCCATATTATACATATAATCGACTGATTCTGCATGAGTACTTTTAGTTTGGATATTTCAAACATATTTGTTTTTTCAAAATGCTTATGAACTTTTACTTAAGCAGCATGACTTTCCACCCTGACAGTGGTTTAGAATACTGCACAGTAAAGGCAGGATATTTACTAAGGTTTTGCAGCTCATTTTTGGCACAAAACAATGAAATTGTGTGGGTTCATATTTACTAAGGATTCACATTTAAGTTTTGTGCTAAAAAAGAGAATATCCTGGATCCCCATTCGTGATATATTACAGCACAAGTTTTTTATCACTGTGTTCCAAACACACAGACTTGTGACTCTGAGTAGCATCGATGTTCACTAGTGGATGTCTGTGGTTTTTACTGGATCAAGTGATGTGGTTTTGGATGAAGTGGGCCATAAAAAGGATGCATTTCATACAGTTATGGGCTCCATCTGTTGTATACTTTCTCTGTTTTCTATTTGTTCCTAAATAAAGAAAAATGCCTTGAAAACTTTGATGTTAATAAAGTTGAATATTTTAGTTTTTAATATTAAAGTTTGTCCTGTAAATGTAAAACAATTTAATACATTTTTTATACATTTTTATTATAATTTTTCATTTTAAAAAAGTTGCAAAAGTGTTTGTGACCTTGACCTTTGACCACCAAAATCTAATCAGCTCATCCTTGAGTCCAAGTGAACACTTGTGCCTAAATCGTACGGGTGTACGTGTGGATGCTAACTCAAAATGCCGCCGGCCACAGCTACTGCCAGTGCGGAGGCATAAAGAACTGTACACAATGTAAACATCTTGTTCAACTTAGTATTTTGATTTCAGTCATGGATATGTAAAAGTACAAATTTACTGTTGTTGCTTTTGAATATTAGTAATTCTAGATACTTCATGGGCCTCTACATGCAACTTGTGAAGTGAACAAAAAGAAGTAAACATAAGCAGGGCGTGAGCAGGTGTTCAAACCAAACCTGACTGTGTTACAGACTGATACTGTGTATAACGTATAGTTTAAGCAGTGCAGAGGATGGGCATCGTGGCAGTAGGTGAACTCAGGGAATATTTAGAGACACTGGCTTTAACACTTACCTTGCTCTGTGCTGCAGTGCCACTGACAGAAGTTACGGCCAATGAGAATGAAGCTCCTTGTAGCGCCTGGAGGCTGGCTCAGATTCTGGACAAGAGGGAATGGTACAAATATGTCTCCGGAAGCGGGGCAGCTAAAAAAAGGTGTAGGAGATGGAGAAAACCATTACTGCAGTGAACATATAACAGCGTGGTAACACATGATGCAGAACATCCAGTTCCCTCTGTACTGCACCATGTAACTCTGCTGACTCCAGCTGGTCTGTGGGTGACTGCAGACAGACCTGCTGTTCCTAACCAGCAAAAGTCACTGGTAGAGTCAGAACAACATACTGCAAGAACAAGGTGAAGGAACAACCCACAAATGGGAATCAAATCCTGTGCCTCTATGGCAGCTTTCTAGAACTTTGCCCCTGCAACATCTGTATGTACAACATACTGTGTATAAATGTTAAATCCTGATTTCAGGGTAAAAAGACCCAAACTGGACTGAGCAAAAGAAACTTGCACTGTATTGTTTGATGAGTTAGAGTTTGAGTAAATTGGACCAATATATGATTCATTTGAACCTACTATCTAGTCTATGGGAATTATGTGGACCAAAATAACATGCAAGATAAAGTATTCATAAGGCTTTCTCTCTCTGCTTGGGACAGTTTTACTCAGCACTGACCAGTAGTAGAAAAAAAGGTGGGGTCAAAAACTGAAAATAATGAATTATGTCAGTTAAGGCAAAATTATCTGGGTGGCTAGGCAGAGTTTTACAAGAAAACTGACAAAAAAGCAGTGTTGGGTCAGTTAGTTTGGCCTTTATCTGCTGTGGTGACATGCCTGTGGAGAGATCATTGCTGTACTTTCCGGAAACACAAAGCACGACTTGGCATATCATGTCAGTTCTTGGAGAAACGCAGGTCGCTTAGTTACATAATGTTAGTTAAAGAGCAAGATTTGACATGCCCACAAAAGGTGGTGCTGCACAGCTTGTTTACTACCAATGAGACTTCACTATGAGATGAAAAACAGCTGAATTCTATAAAAGATGAAAGCAACTGAAACAACAGTTGACTTGATAATAAAACCCACTCTAATGTCAGCAGAGGTGCAGGAAGTATTTGAAGTGTCACTTGCATATAGGATGAAAGCAGATGAATTGTCAGCTGAATTGTAAACAAAGAAGGAGAGCAGTTAAAATGTCAGTTAACCTCAGCAACTTAGCATTAAAACATGTGCACTAGGCAACAGCAATAAAAAAAATAAATAGCACCGCAGTATGTGGACGTGTTACTGCTATGATTATCAACATGGAAGGACGAAGGCACATATAGCAAATACTTGCTACTCATTTTGAAAAGCCATCAAAATGACCAGCACAAACAACTCACCTTGTTTTCTCAAATGCCTTCACTGCTGTGTCGCTGGCCAAAGAATTGACCAAATTGACAACCTCTGCCAAGATGGAAGGCAGTAAGAAGTGTGCAGCAATTTCAGCCGTGCACTGCTGAATGGAGGGGCAGCCTGTTCACCAGCAGCCCAGTGAGAAGACAACAGACATACAGAGTGACAAGTACGCCACCTCAGAATATAAAACCTCTCATCGATGATGTAGTCTTTCTGAAATACTGTTTTACAGTCTGGCAGAGAACAAAATAACACTTACCAAGTTTAGCCATGAAAGTGATCCACGGCTGGCAGGTAACCTGGTAGATAGAGTGTAAAGTGCCCGCATCTCCCTCCTCCAGCTGAGACACCTGCCGCCTACACAGCCACAAAACATCCACACTGCAATAAAGGACCTTTTTACTGATCCTGAAGCACTGACAGAAGAGATCTGTGGTAGTTTAAAAGTTTGTCGACTAGCTATCAATAAGACAGGTGCAGAAATTTCGGACTTTCGCAACTCAATGCCGTGGCAGTTCAGTAGAGGATACTCATGACACTGCTAACACGTGGTACTGGGTAGCGCTTTAACTGATACTGTGCTTTAAATGTCAACATTCAAATGTTGTTATATATTGGCAGTTCTAGTTATTTTAAAGAGTTGCACAATTTCAAGATTTTTAGATTCAACATTTCTGTTATGAATATCAAGTCAACATCGACTACTCACTGATGACATTATCAAACTTGAATTACAGCGTCACAGTTCTATACCTCTGACAATCAGTCCAATTCACGGGGCAGATATGAGGTAACTGAACTTTGACCACCAAAATTAATTAGCTCATCCTTTACACCAAGAAATTCCTTTAAGACATCCGCATGCTGAAAAAAAAAGAAAACTGTCCATGTGGGCTGCCTGCTCATGAGAAAGCCCCAGATGAGCACAACCATAATGCTTGGAAAATTCTGCAGGGATGTGCATGTAGAATCCACACAGACCCTTGTGGACCTTAACAGACGTGTGGATGCAGAAAGTATAAATTGTACTGTAACTCCATCTGACCTATTCTCATTTGGACAAGGGGGTAGGCACTATGTAAGTTATGTTCCTCAACTCCTTCACTGCATTCAGCACCATCCAGCCCCTTTTGCTGATGCACAAGATGCTGGAGATGCAGAGGGGGAACCTATCTGGTGTCCCAAATTGCAGACAACCTCACTAAAAGACCACAGTATGTCAGGTTGGTGGACTGTATTTCTGACACTGTGATTGGAAGCACAGGAGCACTGTAGGGGACTGTGAGTCACTGTCACTCTAAGTCACTTTACCTCCCGCCCCTGCACATTACACTGCTGCTGTGGATGCTCGCAGTAGTGCCTTTTCCAATGACTTTTTTAGTCACTTTACCATTGATGTTCTGAGCCACATTACTCTTCTTTCTTGAATCAGACCCCTGCCGACTGGCTTCATGCCTTAACTAGTAACTCTCTTTTGCTTTATACCCTCTTTGAAGTGTATCTCTGTTCTATAAGCTGCTGGACACATCATATTTCTCTCAGAATCAATGAAGTATCTAATTATTATTGCTATAAAATTGTTATAGCAAACATGTTAGAAAATATTTACCTGCTTTAAACTTTCCTGTAAAATTTCAACAGTTTATTTTAGATGTTGAATCTACAAACTGTGTGTTCTTGGCTTGTAAGGTCCAGTTACCAGCACAAGTGTGTTTACACTATGTGTGCTTGTTCCTTCGGATTCTTCTGTCAATCAAACATGCACAGAGCGTTCCCACTCTGACCATGTCTCTTTTAAGTTACAAAAAAAAAAAAGCATTAAACATGAAAACCCTTTAGACAGGATAATTAATTAGAATCACTTTGTGATTTCAAATCTTTGTAGCTTCAATAATGACTGAACAAATTCAATGCAATGATGGTAGTGTCAGATGTTCTGTTATATCCTACCTCTGTGCCTGCTCCAGCTCCACAGCCATAGCCTTCTCCTGGCTCCACTGTTGCTTTACAGTCTCTGTCTTGTGTCTCCGTCGTGCTGATCGGCCCTCTTCCGCTTTTTCTTGCACTATGTCATCAGTTGTCTTTGGAGTTCCAAGCTCTGATGAGTCTGGTTTACTCTGCAAGGCCAGAAAGCAACACATTTACTTTTTAAGGCACAAATAACCAGTGTAACCTCTGTGTATATTAGGATCAACCAAAATGGCTCCATCTGCAGATCTCAGGTGATTCTCTATGAAGACAAACGTACTTAATGCAAATGTAAAAATAACAGTAGCCAACCAAAAGGAAAAAAAAAAAAAACTAAATTCTGCACAAGCTAGGACTGTGTGTGGTTTTTATACTGCATATTAACTTGATAAATGTACATATAATCACAGCTTTAACACTCTGGGCTGGCCTAGGCTGAGATTGTTATTAAAATTTCAACCTTGTGTGCAAGCTAATATTTCAATTACTTAATTAATGAATTTCCATTTCCATGAGATGCATCAAGAAGTTTAGTATTATTACCTTTAGAGTCACAGAGTCAGCTCCAAATGCAGACACTGCATTTGCATTGATCTTGCAGTTCTGGTTAGATGCTAAACTGTATGTAATTGCCTTGTACATGTCTAATGACAAAGTTGAATCTAAACAAATCTACATTGTGTTAACTCATATTTTTCTTCTAGTCCAGTTTCTAAATTTGTCACGGCCAATTCATTCAGGGCTGAAATTGCACAGACTCCATACAGTGTCTGCCCAGCTAAAGACTGTCAATAGCTGGTGATTAAGGTATCAACATGTTCAGCTGTTTAAGACATTTATGCTTGTATACAACTTTTTTATAACTTTTATACTTTTTAGGATATTCCACTTTTTTCATCATATTTTTCCCAGTGGAAATGAGTGGGACAAAGTTTGAACCTTAATATCTTTGGCATACCTTGGGCTAGAAACGCCCTTTCATCTCTGTTCAACTCGTTCAGAGAGGTTCAGCTACCAATGGTGCAACAATCATCTTTATAACTTTCATACTTTTTAATAAATTCAGCTTTTTTCATCACCAATTTTTCCCATTCAAATGAATGGGAAAGTCTTGAAAGCCTCATCGTCTTTGAACATTAATATCTCCGGCATACCTTGGGCTAGAAGCGCCATTTCAACTCTATTCATCTTGTGAGACGTTCAGCTACCACTGGTGCAACAATCATCTTGATATCTTATATGGTTTTTGTTTTATAATCGACATTTATATTTTGTCTATTTGTCCATAGACAACGAATGGGCCAATACAATCCAGTGCCATTGGCAGCTATGTGTCATGTGACTCCCCGGTCTAGCAGCTTTCTCTATGCCACTTTTCCTCTTCCTCATTGCTTTTGTGCTCATATTATGCCGTTCTTAAGCTTTATACACATATAATAGATGACAATCGTAGAGAAAATTGTCAGAATCCAGCTGTGTAATTGGCATTACGAAGAGATGGATGGTATTTGCGTAAGTCGCACATTCCGGCGCGTACCGTCTCACTGCTCCTTAGGCTTGAGGTCAAAAAAATATGCTGGAAGGACAACGTCTGTGTAATTATAAATCACCACGGTTCCTT